TCACATATGATCCACTCCCCTTGAGCCCCAGCAGAAGTGAGGCCTGAACACCGCCAGTGTGTTCCAAGTGACCCACCAAACTGTGACACACACACACACACACCCAGTGAGCGCCATAACCGAGTGCGAGAGTGCAGTCCAGTGTGTGTGAAGCTCCCTGCCCAGCCCACAGAGGCAGGGTTCCCCGGCTCTCGGACTGGATCCTGTCTCCTTGGGCTGGAGCACATGCGGGAACATGGTCCCCTGAGCACTGTAACAAGCAGCCCCCAAGCATGAAGTCGAGAGCTGCAAACAACCCCCTGAGCATCACTGGGTGTGAGTTTACAAAGTGTGGGGGCTGTGTTCAGCGGCCGAGAGCCGCCTCCCTGTCCTCAAGCAGAGGGACAAAGGCAGGGGACACCAGGCTGATGGTCAAATGGCCCGTTTAATACGGAGCTGCTAGCGAACTTCTAGAACATCTGAAGGGGTTCGGGTATCGGACTGCACGTAGGTGCGGTCGATTGTTTACAGAGGTAAAACATTTCAGTAGAGGCGATTCTCTTGGGGGCATTAACTCAAGGGGGTGCTCTGTCTCCCAGGGATATCTGTGTTGCTTTTTCTCTTAAGTTGTACATATTAAACAATTAAGTTTACTTCTTATTAATGAATGCAGTTGTTTAGATAAGCACAGTAAGAGATACACATTCCAGAACTTAGTTCTCTGGGCTCTAAGAGCCAGTAGGACTTTTACCATAAATCCCAGACTAAGTCCTCAGGCCAGTTCAGCTTGTCTTTCCCCATGGGGATCTTGTCTCTTAAGTCATAACAGCGTGCATCAAGACTGTGCATTTGTGCTTTCCACACCGTCCCATTTTGATGTCGGGGTGGCTTCGCCACTTGCCCCAGGTCCATCCCAGTGCCGCAGTGAGAACTCCCTTTTGGGGTGTTAGGAACTACCGCAGCTGAAGCCTGAGTCAAGTAATGATAAAGAAAGCCCAGGAGCAGATATATTTCAGAGTCAGTCAACTCCCAGATATTAGGAACATAGCATTAACGGACTTTCTGTGTTTAAGCAAAGAACATTGCTCTGCAGATAATTTCTGACAAGGCTGTAGGGGAAACAGAAGAGCAAGTGATTCACTACAAAGACAAAATCCAGAGTTACCAGAACGTTTTGGCTTTTAAATTACCAAGATTGACTTGGGGGAATTGTGACGATGAGAGGTTAAAATACAAAGGAAAGGTTCAAGATACACTCAGGGGAGTAGGGGTGCCCACGAGAGCACAGGAAGCTGTGGGAAGGAAGGGGCAGTTCATTGATGAAGCCTGACACACTCGGGGTCACTGTTGAACAACCAGGTTGCCCCCAAATTTTTTTTTTTAAAGATTCTTTATTGCTTTCTTGTTTTAAAATTTATTTATTTGCTTTTCGGATCATACCTGGCAGTGCTCAGTGGACCATACGGGATGCTGGGAATCAAATCTGGGTTGGCCGTGTGCAAGGCAAACGCCCTCCCTGCTGTGCTCTTGCTCCAGCCCCTCTCTCTTCCTTTTAATGAAGTCTAACTTGGCATCTTTAGTTACCCCACTTGTAAAATCACTCTCACTGTATCACTGTCATCCCGTTGTTCGGCGATTTACTCGAGCGGGCGCCAGTAACATCTCCATTTGTCCCAGCACTGAGATTTTAGCAGCCTCTCCTTACTCGTTTTTCCCAACACTTGGAGGTTCTTTTCAGCGTCAGGGGAATGAGACCTGTTATTGTTACTGTATTTAGTATGTCGAATATGCCACGGGGAGCTTGCCAGGCTCTTCTGTGTGGCCGGATACTCTGGGTAACTTGCTGGACTCTGCAAGAGGCATATATATATATATATATATATATATATATATATATATATGTATATATGTATGTGTATATGTAAATATATATGGAATATAAAAAATATCAATCACTGTCCTCCCATTGTTCATCGATTTGCTCGAGCGGGCCCAGTAACGTCTCCATTGGAGACTTTGTTGTTACTGTGTTTGGCATATCGAAGACACCACGGGGAGCTTGCCAGGCTCTGCCGTGCGGGCGGGATACTCTCGGTAGCTTGCCGGGCTCTCCGAGAGGGGCAGAGGAATCGAACTCGGGTCGGCCATGTTGGCTGCGTGCAAGGCAAATGCCCCACCGCTATATTCTATAATATTTGTTACTGCAGGGAAAAACTTTTTGTGCAGCTCACAACTTAACAATTTTAACAATGCTAAGGACCAAAGAATCTGCTGGGAATCTTGAAATACTATAAGACATATAAAGAAACAAAACCTAGCATAAGGACCAATCCCAGAATGTAGGTATACGCTGAGTTCAGAGTTAGCAATCTTACTGGTCATTTTATAGCCTTGCTTAGCCTTTTCTACCTATCTAAATGGCTTGTAGCATTCTAGTGGCCAATCAGATTGTTGGGATTTTAGTGCTTCCAAAAGTAGAAGTGTCCAGTTTCCTTATCTCTAATAGTACTGAAATGAGAAAGGAGTGTGATCCAGGAATGTGACCACCCCATGTTGTCAGTGAGCACAGCTGAAAGGAATTGCCTGCTGAGATCGGGGAAGCTTGAGGTCTTTCCCATGGTGCCACCATTTGCAAAAGATTTCACTCCAGGGGCCCCTTCCACCCTTTCAAAAAACAGGCACAAGTTTTTCTATGCACAATAAAATCTATTTAAACTGTCTCCCATCCACCCTATGAAAGAAGATTTCCAGGACCATTTTCTTAAGATGATAGTTTTTGGAAATATACATTGTCAACACTGATTTGAGTCTTCAGAATACGAGGTCTGCAGAGATCCAACAGTGGATAAGGTGCTTGTCAGACACGCCGACCTGTATTCCAATCTCAGTGCTCCATAACATAATGGGAATTCCCCCAGGTATGCAGCTCTGAGCTGAGAGCCAGGTGTAGGGCCTGAGCGCAGCACCCTACAGTATAACACAGAAAGGCCTGAAGAATGAAGGTTTGGCTGATTTTTGATTGAAGACAGTTCTCTGCAGCGTTGTGGATGGTCTCTGCCAAAACCCCCCAGAAAACAGGGCCTTTGGGCCAGGCCAGAATCAGAGCAAAGAATGATGCAGCGGTGAACCTTGACGGTCCAGAGTGAGGGGTGTTTATGTATTTAAATGACTAAAGAAAAAGAAAGCACCAACTATCGATACATTTCTATATTAAAAATTGTTGAGACAGGGCTGGAGTGATAGTTCAGCAGGTAGGGCATTTGCCTTGCATGCGGCCGACCCGGGTTCGATTTCCAGCATCCCATATGATCCCCCGAGCACCGCCAGGAGTGATTCCTGAGTGCATGAGCCAGGAGTAACCCCTGAGCATTGCCCGGTGTGACCCAAAAAGCACCCCGCAAAAAAATAAAATAAAATAAATACTATATATATATATAGGCTGGAGCAATAGCCAGGAGTAACCTCTGTGCATTGCCGGATGTTACCCAAAAAGCCAAATAAAATAAAATTTATGAGATAACAAAGTTGTGATATCAATAGTAGAGAAAACAAATTTATGTGAACATTGTTATATCTGGTTGTAGGGTTGTTAAGATTGTCTCAATTTTTAAAATCTTTTGTTCCTACAAGAGATTTTTCCTATTTATATTTGGTACTTATTTAGTCACTTTCCTCCTGGCTTCCATCACCAAGACTGTTATTTACAAATTAACGTACATGTGAAGTTCAAATGCCGGGAAACTGGCATAACTATAGCACTGGTAGCACGGTCCTCTCGTTCATTGATTTGCTCAAGCGGGCCCAGTAACGTCTCCATCGTGAGACTTTGTTGTTACTGTGTTTGGTATATCGAATATGTCACGGGTAGCTTGCCAGGCTTTGCCGAACGGGTGAGATACTCTCGGTAGCTTGCTGGGCTCTCCGAGAGGGGCAAAGGAATCGAACTCGGGTCTGCCATGTTGGCTGCATGTAAGACAAACACCCTTACTGCTGTGCTATCGCTCCAGCCCTATAGCCCTGATAAGAAAGAAAATTTTTTTACTTATTTTTTTCTCTGATACGCTGTTATTTGAAATAGTACATATACACATTGCACGCACGCGTGCGCACACACACACACGCACGCACACATTTATATAAGTACTTTTTATTTTTTGGCAGTGCCAGGAATCACACCTTACACTTGAAAGACGAGTGCTCTTCTCCAAGCTACATCTTTGGTCCCCTTTTTTATTTTTGGTCAGGGGGCTCCTAGCCAGAGCTCAGGCAATCGGGGGCCCCACTGAGGAGTCTCAGGGTTCCTTAAGAAGTCCCAAGGGTGCAATGCTGCATGGGCCACCCCCTGGTTCTGAGCGGTCTCCTGCCCCCTTGTAGTTATTTTGGCCTACAATGAAACTTTATTGAAGCACCGTGATTTACAGGGTTGTTCACAAGACAGTTTCAGATATTCAGCCCCACCACCAATGTGCCCTTCCCTCCACCAGTGTCCCTTGTTTCCCATTCCGCCCCCAAGCCTGCTGCCTTGCAGACACTAATTAGTTTATATTGATAACTAGGTCTTTATCTCCTAAACAGTGCTGCTGCAGTCCTGGCCTGGAGGATTTACTGCACGGTTAGGTGCGAGTTGGGCCTTGTGTTACGGTTTTCACTTCACGAGCTTGGTGGGCTTCTACTCAGCTTTCCGTCTGACTTTCTTGCTTTTTCTGGACTGTCGGCTCTGTGAGGTTTAGAGGTGTTGCATGGCTGCATATGTGGCCGCATGCTTCAGGGACCTTGGAGCTGGGGCATCAGCTGCTCGTGGCCCTCTGGTGTCTGTCTGAGATCGTTCGTGAAGCTGGCCCGTTTCTCTGGCAGGGCGGGGACTCGCTGTGCCCCATCCCGCCAAGGCTCCCGTGATCTGAGCCACTGGGAATAACTCAGCCGCTGGTGTCTCGCCAAGATCCCCTTTTAGTTTTTAATGGAAACTGACTGGCTGGTTCGGGGCGTGGCCAATTCTAATATATGTCTTCGTTGTCTTTTAGGGCTCCAGAGATTTTTCCCTGCATAGTCCTAGAAGCAGGACGGCCCTGAGTGGCAGCTTTCCCCTGTAAGTATGTGCTTGAAGGGGCCGAACTGAGCCAGAAGGCAGGCTCTCTGCCGTCTGCTGAGGCCTCTCCTTGTTTCCTGCAGCGCCGGCGTGGGGCGGGTGCAGTGGTCACGCCTACACATTGATGCTCCCAAGGACCCGACGAAGCCCGTGGTAGGTGCCCCCATGCTCAGGTCAAGTAGCTGCTTTCGTGGCAAACCCTTTGCTATTTCCTTTGGGCTGTTTCCCAGACCCTTTCTGAGTGAAAATGCTTCCTTTGGGCCTGCTGGCCCTGGGCGCAGAGGCACACTGGGAGTGTCCCCTGGGTGCTCATAAGAGTTTCCAGGTATCAAGGTGAAGTTCTGAGGGAATCAGTGTTCTGCCTCAGAGAAGCGCTGACGCAGTGGTCTCGCTCCAAGCTCGGCATCCTGGAAGAGCTCTCGTCAGGGTGCAGAATATTTGCTGCTATATCCTTAGCACCCGTCAAGGCATTGTTTTGCCTTTTAAGACCCTGAGCTGAGCCAGTACAGTGTGTGCACCCCCCTCCTGCCCCCTTGTGCATTGCGAGGGGCCTTGAGCAAAGGGAAAACATCCCCAAGCCAGGCCGGGAGGCGGCTCTGCGACTGGGCACTGACTCTCAGAGTGCACACGGCACCCGGGCAGCGGAGGGTGTGCCCCCACCCCCAACCAAAAGCTGGAAGGGGAAACAAGTCCCAGAGCCCCCCCGAACTGAACCGTGACCTTGACTCCCCACAGGAGAGATGCCGGGAGTTTGTCAACCCAGTTTCCATCATGCTTTGTTTTTTTCACCTTTTAATTCACGGATTCTGCATCCATTTCCCTGACAATTAAACTCTTTCAGGGCTCAAGAGCATATAACCCCAGGTCTCCTGCTCACAAGCTCCATGCACCTGAGCTGTAAAGAAAAGTGGGCCCGTCAGCCCAAGGGCAGGCTGTCTCCTGGAGGCAGGACAGTGCCCCTCACTCTGGCCACTTGCAATGTCAGATTTCCCAAGCTCAACTGAAATGCGCATTGTCATGTGAACTCTGATGTTGAATGCCACAAATTGGCAGTGTCCATAACACCCTGGAAGGGCCCGTTGGGACACATCTCAGAGCGCTGTCCTCCTCCCTTGTCTAACTTTGCAGCTTAAGGTATCAGAATGTTCATTCTTTCCAGCAACTTGAATTGGGGTCATTGAGAATGGAGCCCCGGCTTCCTGGTGGCTTAGCTGATCTCCTCTGGGACAGAGTAATTTAACCCTGAATCACTGGATTAGTAATGTAAATGACTGGGTTAATGGATGAATGAAGTGAAGGTAATTCGCCTCCTGGAAGAAAGTCAGGACTGTCAAACCCATTATTTCTAAGATCTTTAAGACCGAGGGTGGGAGAGGTAGAAGTTCCCGGTCTAGTCAGTGTCAAAACATTTTAATTAGAAATGAGTAATTTTTCTTACAGGGCAGGAGGAACATACATGAATAAGACCTAATAAAAGAGAATTTATGGCAGTGTCTTACAATTCATGAGCGCTTTAATGTGTGTTTTCTTTTTCCACGTAGAAATGTTGTGGGCTCTCTAAGGTCTTACTGCTTGTATATGAGAGAACTGAAGTGCACAGTAACGACAGGACTTCCCAGTGTCCCTCAGCCAGAAGCAGTGGAGTTTAATTGTCTGCCCCAGCCTTTCTGCTTCTAGAAACAGACTCCACAATTCTTTCCCATTGTGTGTCTGGGTGCCGACAACTAATGCCTTTTTTGTCACACCCAGCAATGCTCAGGGGTTACTCCTGGCCCTGCACTCAGGAATTACTCCTGGCGGTGCTCAGTGGACCACGTGGGATGCTGGGATTCAAACCCGGGTCAGCCGCGTGCAAGGCAAATGCCCTACCCACTGTGCTATTGCTCCAGCCCCCTAATGCCTTTTTTAAGTTGCCTTGAAAATCCATTTTGAGTGCTGGAGAGATAGCACAGCGGGTAGGGCATTTGCTTTGCACATGGATGACCACAGGTTTGATTCCCAGCATCCCATATGGTCCCCCAAGCACTGCAGGTACTTCCTGAGTGCAGAGCCAGGAGTAACCCCTGAGCTTCACTGGGTGTGATCCACCAAGCCAAAAAAATAACATAAAAAATCCCTTTTGGTGCAAACTCCAGTCATGGTTCTAAGCTGATCATGGAGCCTCTTGCCGTAAGCTCGCTGTTAGAAAGCTATTCCAGAGCTTTCTCCCTGGACCAGCAAGCTCTGAAGTCATTCAGCCAGGGTAATACAGTTTTCCAGGCACAAATACCGAGCCATTATAATGAACTTTTTCTTTCCCTTTTTAAATTGTAGATAACGGTCTCTGACGAACCAGACACATTGTACAAACGTCTGTCAGTCTTAGTGAAAGGCCATGATAAGGCTGTGTTAGACAGTTACGAGTATTTTGCAGTGCTTGCAGCAAAAGAGCTCGGGCTCTCTATTAAAGTGTAAGTATGCCGCGTGCTTCCCGCAGGAGAGGGGGTGTCCTGAGCACGGTTGGGGTGGGCTCGCCGCAGCCTCCCCCGGCCACACTACCCAGAATTCTCCCTTGAGTTCTTTTGGGGCCTTCGTGACCGGTGTTCCTGCCTTCCGGAGGAAAACTCTAAGCTGCATTTCCATCTCTTGATGAGATGGTTATCGTGATCAGACTCTGAAAATCAAAGCTTTTCCAGTATTCACAATTAAATACCCACCGTTAACATTTCTGTAAAACAAAACGAAAAGTCGGCTCAACCAGAGCCAACTTTGTCTCTTGTCTGTATTACAAAGAGACAAGGAAGCTATGTAATAAGGACGATCTTTTCTAGTCTGACCTGGCCACACCATCAGCCAGGAAAAGGACGCTGACCCCTCTGAATGGGCTCGAAACGCGTGATGGGTAGATCTGAGGTTTGTCGTCGTATCATCGTTCTGGAACATTTATGAGGATGGTGGTGAGAGCGGGGAGGTGCCAAGCTCCATCTCAGCTCCTGCAGGCCCCGCTCCGAGCACTGCGGACTGTGTACCCCATAGCCCCCAGCACCAACCGGCCCTAGCAGTGCCATCCGGCCAGGCCAGTACGACCAGGAGTTGTCTGCTTTCACCCCGCTTATGACCACAGTTGGGGAGGTCTCAAAAAAAAATGACTACTAGAATAAATGAACACCAAAAATGATGAAAATCCTGCTTAGAAAGTGCATTGAGATACAGAGACCTCAGAAGACTGACGTCGTCTTAGGAGACGGACGAGACAAACAAGCAGTCCTGACAGGCCCTTTGGGTTGATGTCCCCGTTGCTTCAGAACCGCCTTCGGGACCATCGCTCATATGAGAAGCTGCTCAGAGCAAGTCCTCCTGAACGACAGCACGGCCCAGCTCTGCGTCACCAGTCTCCTAACAAAGCAGAAGGCACCCGGCCCCTTCCTCTACCGGACTGTCGTTCTCTGGTTGTCACTAGAGATTGTCTGTGAGGGGGCAGTTGGGCACTGCACACCCAGCAGTACTCAAGAGGCTACTCCTGGCTCGGTCAGTGTTCAGGGGCCACCTCTGGCTGTGGTGTATCAAACAGGTCTGCCACAAGTGCCCCAATCCCAGCCCTTCAAAGTAGATTTCCTCAGCACAGCACCCAGGGAGGAGACCCGTGGGTGCGCGTCCCAGCAGCTCCGGTCAGTGGAGGCCTCAGAGAGGCCCAAACCCGAGGTGCACACCTGGGCAGCTGCGGGTCAGGGCCCCTTCCTGGGCGTGCAGAAGAATGCGCCTGTTGCCGCCGCATTGTTTATTTTGACGTGAGCTTCCTCAACAACAGCGGTTGTTGTTGATGACAGGCTAGGCACATGGAAGTCCAAATGGTAGTTAATGCCTGTAATTGAGTGTGAGCCTGACCCACCAAATTGCGGGATTGTACTTTGGTATCAGTGACTCAGCTTTTTTTAGCACCACTTAGCCTAAGTGTGTCGTTTTACTCACTAATTTTCAGGCATGAACCGCCAAGGAAAATAGAGAGACTCACGCTTCTCAAATCAGTGCATATTTTCAAGAAGCACAGGGTTCAGTATGAGATGAGAACTCTTTACAGATGTTTAGAGGTGAGTTTACTTGGGACTGCCAGGCATGTTCGAAATGCCTGGCTCTAGTGTCCCCGAACTGTCCTTCCCAGAGGCCAGTGGCCTCTCAGCAGGAGTTTATGATACAGGAGAGAAGGGAAATGTATTTCCTGTGGATTGACACGAGAGGAAAATCAGTCTTCCTTATGGGGGGAGGGATGTAAACTGTTTGTGAGGACTGTACCTGGTGGTGCTTGGGGCTTACTCCTGGCTCTGCACTCAGGGATCACTCCAAGTGGGCCCCAGGGGCCAAGGGGGATGCCGGGAATTGAACCTGAGTCAGTTGCCTGCAAGGCAAGTGCCCTACTCACTGTGCTCTCTGGCTCCAAATCCGTCTTAAGCAAAGCATCCTTTAGCAGAATTCATGCTTTAAGTTTTTGTTTATTTTTGGGTCATACTTGGCCATGCTTGGGAATCACTCCTGGCAGGGCTCAAGGGACCATATGGGATTCCTGGGATTGAGCCCAGGTTGGCCGCATGCAAGGCAGGCACCTTATCCGCCTTACTGTATCTCCAGCCAGTGCGTTCGCTGGAGCCAGCGTGGTCTCCGGTGAGGAAGGGCCTAAACAGGGAGATGGTGATGGGGGGAGGTGCCTCCCTTCCAGCGGGTGACCCTGGTTCATTCCTTGGCGCTACGTATGGTCTTCGGAGCACCACCAGAAGGTCCCCTGAGCACAGCGCCAGGAGTCAGCCTTGTGCGCCTCTGGGTGTGTCCCTAAAAACAGCAGGGAGTGGCGGTGAGGTAGCAGGTGGAGGAGGTGGGCTTAGATAGCCTCATCCGAGAGCACTTCCTTGCTGTGTGAGCAGGCCCTTAAGTCCTACGTGTAGATGAAAGAAGAATGGGACCCAGCACAGAATTAAATGAGATACTGATCTTAAGCAAATAGTTTCATCACACGGTAAATGTTATTAAGACTTTTTTTTTCCTGCTGGGCCGGGGGAATTGACCCAGGGCCTCACATGCCTGGCATATGTTCTACCCCACATCACCTCCCCAGCACTGGGCGAGTCACTGGTGTGTTGTCATACATCTGTCTGGGAAACCCCACCGTAGGCATTGAGGGCCAGGTGTGGTTTGAGAGAAGTATAGTGCGTATAGTGCGTCCCCTCCGTGGACCCCAACTCTGGCCTTCCCTGGCCAGTCTCCCGCCTCCTTTGACCTGGCATTGTCTGCGACACTCCTGTCGTGTACTTCTCTTACCCACACTTGCCACTGGGTTCTGTGGGGCGCTGGTTAGAAGGTGTCTGGGCTGGGGCCAGTGGGCTACGGGGGCTTTGGCGTCTCAACTTCTCCCATCCAACTCAACCCGAGGCTCAGCTCTGTTTTCCTTCAGTGACCCGGAGTTCTCCGAAGAGTGTGCAGAGAAAGAAGTGGCTCGCTACTTTTCTAGGGGAAAAAAAATAAATAAATGAGTAGTAGTAAAACTTAGAAATTTCTGGTATAGCATCCTAGCATGAATCCGTTTTATTTTTGGAAAATACAAGAAGAAATACTTTAAAACAACTTAACGTTAAAGTTGTGAAATTTTATTTTTAAAAAAAAATTTATTTTATAAAGGAGTTCACAATACTTGTAGTTGTGAGATTTTAAGGAATTGTGTGCCCTTTCTTCCCTTTTACCGCCAACCTGTATCAAGACCCTTTTATTTTTGAATTCTAGTTAGAACGCCTAACTGGAAGCACAGCCGACGTCTACCTGGAATACATCCAGCGAAATCTCCCTGAAGGCATTGCAATGGAAGTAACAAAGGTACGGTTGGAGACCTGCCGCTTTGGGGGAGATCCCAGCATGCCTGAGGCTGCGAGGGCTGGGAGGCCTGTGAGGGTGCCCCCTGACCCTCCACCCCCCACCACCACACACACACACACACACACACACACACACACACACACGTGTGCGCGCACCTCTCACGTGCTCCTCAGGAGGTGTCTGGACGAAACGCGGCCCCTGCAGGCTGGAGGTGCTGGTCTGTGTGGAGTCTGTGCGGTGCCGCCAGCTTCCTTCTGGGCTTCAGAACCCCCAACAGTGGGAAGATTTGGGAACAAGCCTGGGCTGTGGTGATCGCACATGTGATAGAACTGGAACCCGAGATTCAGAATGGTCCCCATCACTGCCACATGTGTCCATGGGGCCACTTCCAGCCCCCCGAAAGCCACTGAGCCCAAGGCCTAGGTCGTCAGCCCACACAGGGCTTGGCACCATCACTGAGCCCAAGGCCTGGGTCGTCAGCCCACACAGGGCTTGGCACCACCACAAAGTGTGACCCCTGTTTTTCAGAGGTTAGGCTGGAGAGGGCACTTAGCAGTCTGAAGTCAGACCGTGCCTGAAGGACCCCGAGCAGACAGTTAAGTACAGTGGGTAGGGCTCCTGCCTTGCCTATGGCCCACCTGAGTTTTTGCGTGTTTTTTTGTTTTGTTTTTGTTTGTTTTTTGCTTTTTGGGTCACACCTGGCGATGCACAGGGGTTACTCCTGGCTCTGCATTCAGGAGTTACTCCTGGCGGTGCTCGGGGACCATATGAGAAGCCAGGGATTGAACCCAGGTCAGCCGTTTTCAAGGCAAACGCCCTACCCGCTGTACTATCACTCCGGCACCCCAACCTGGACTTGATTCCAAACACGTATGATCCCTGAGCCCTCCAGGATTGATTCCTGAGCTCTGCCAGATATGGCCCAACGAGCAAGCAAGAGGGAGAGAGGGAGTTAACTCCTGTTCTCTCTTGAACACCTACCTCACTTGCTTGTGTATTTCTTTGCTTGCCTATTTCCACTCCAGCGGAGTCTGTATTCTCTCTTAAACATCCTCCTTTTCTCTTCTCCCTTGTCTTTTTTTCTTTCCTCCCTCTAACATCTTTCTAAACAAGTTTCAGTCAATAAAAATCATCTTGTGTCATCCCCTCAAAAAAAATGCAAATTGTGGCCAAAGAGTTTGATCAGGTTCACATTAAGTTCTAGTTTCCTGCTTGTTCTCTTTGTAGACCAAGCTAGAACGGTTACCAGAACACATTAAGGAGCCAATCTGGGAGACGATGCCCAAGGAAAAAGAAGAAAACAAGTCCTAAAGTGTCGGAGCACGACGCATGGCATGCTGGCCCAGGCGGTTCTGAGGTTTCCTGATCCAGGGAAACAGGAAATGGGACTTTCAGGATTCCCGGGCTGTTGAGAAACACTACCCGTTCTTTCATAGCCATTGTCAATCTTGTTTCCAACGTTAGCCAATGTGAGCAAACCGTTTGACTTTGTACCAAAAGATTAAAAAATTATATCTTGTCATTCTTCCATTGTTCAGTTATTGGCTTATACTGATACTAATTTCGGTCCTTGCATTCATGGAAGTAGTCCTCACCTTTTTAAAAGGAACCTTCGGTGGATGTGGCTGATTTAACACTGAATAGTTTGTTTTCTTTCGTTTTTGCTTTACCTTAGCATAAGCTCGCAAATGCCTGTTTGGGGTGGGCCACCTTCAAGTCTTACCACACCAAAGCATTGTGTAGTCTCTGCAGCTGGTGAGGCCCCTTGTGCCTGGCCCTCTCCCCTGGAGCTCTCCAGGAGTCCCTGGAGGTCCATCCATCCCAGCAGCCTGCTTTATCATGCTAACTCTGCCCTCTGTAGCAGAAGTTGAATAGAACATTTTTTAAATTGTGCAGAGCCTGGATAGTTTTCCTCCTGAGTTCCGCACTAATGAGAGGCCTCTTTCTCGTTCTTTGTCCGGCACCTTCTGGCCACCTTTCAGCGGAATTAAATCGCAGCTAATGGCTACGGCCTGAAAGCGCAGACCCCTGGGCTCAGGTGCTCTGGGGGCCTCCGGAGGGCCGGCCGCCCTGGCGCCTTTTGTGGGGTCCTTCGTCTCAGGCTCTCCTTAATTTGGAGTCCCGCTCCTCATCCCGACTGCCTCTCAGGTATCAGCTTTTGTTTTTCTCTTCTGGTTTTACAGTGTTGGGTTTGCTTTTTTTTTCTCTCTCTCTGCCACACTGGCAGTGCTCAGCCCTGGCTCTGTGCTCAGAGATCACTTCTGGCGGGCTCAGGGGCTCAACCATGGGGTGCTGGGGAGCAAACCCGGGTCCACTGTGGGCAAGGCCAGCGCCCTACCCACTGTATGTGTCTCATACCGGGGTCCCTGCTCTCTCCACTGCCCACGGGCTGCCGCTCCCACATCCCGGGATCACAGTGTCCCAAGGTTACCCACAGAACGAGGAACTCGTCAATGAAGCAAGACCAGCACAAGGTTCGCATGTGCCTCGTTTTGACCTCGAAGGAAATAATCCTCTGGATGTAGAGGCATGCACCTCAGCTTTGTATTTTTGTCTGTTTGATTTGTTTCGGGGCCACACCTGGCAGCGCTCAGGGGTTACTCCTGGCTCTGTGCTCAGGGATCACTCCTGACAGCATTCAGGGGACCATATGGGATGCCGGGGATCAGACTGGGTCAGCCACATGCAAGGCAAGCGTCCCACCTGCTGTTCTATTACCCCAGCCCCTCCATTTCTTCTTAATGGTCCATTTAGTCCCACAAAGAAATTTGTTTTTTTTTTATCTCCGAAACTTTTTTCTTTGCTTTTTGGGCCACACCCAGCGATGCTCAGAGCTCACTCCTGGCTCTGCACTCAGGGCTCACTCCTGGCAGTACTCAGGGACCATGTGGTGCCAGGGTTCGAGCCTGATCAGCAGCATGCAAGCGCCCCACCTGCAGTGGGATCACTCCGGCCTGCCTCCACTTTTAAGGGCCACTAATAATTAATACAATGCTACTGGGCCCGGGTAAAGAGGGGTGGGTTTTTGTTGTTTATTTTTTAATCTTCTAAGTGGATTTTTTGTTCTGAAACTTAGAATTAAACCCCAAATCGCAATTTCCTCCCTGCCTGTCCTGTGGTGAGGGAAATGTGGGCTTGATGATAGAATTAGCCTGAAGGTGAGTAGGAAGTGACACAGTGAGATTATTGTTTTCATACGGTGCCGGGCCAGGACCCAGAGGTGACACATGTCAGGCCAAGTGCTCAACCACTGAGCTACATCAACCCCAAGATTTTTTTTCCTCTTAACTGAGGTATATCCTGGAGTTCCGCCCATACAGCAGAGCCTGGCAAGTTGTCCGTGGTGTATTCAATATGCCAAAACCAGTAAATACAATGGGTCTCATTCCCCTGACCCTGAAAGAGCCACCAATATGGCAATGTTAAAAAGGATGAGGAAGGAGAGGCTGATAAAATCTCAGGGCCGAACTAGGCTGCCAAAACGAAGAAGGACAAAAATGACTGTCTGTACTTTCAATGCACGTACACTGGCATCGGATGCATCCATCGAGGACCTGATGGTGCAAGCGCAAAAAATCAAGCATGGCATCATTGGTCTGACCGAGACAAGAAGGCATCAACCACATCACGCCATTTTCAACACTGAAGAAGAATTGTTCCTCAGAACATGTGACAAAAGAGGCATCGGTGGTGTCAGTATCCTTGTCAACACGAACTTGGCCATAAACATTGATTCATTCGAATGCCTAACAACCCGAATCAGATGATTATACTTGAATAAATGTGGCTCACTGCTGGCAGTTTCTATCTTCGTTGTCTGCACACCAGCATCCAGTTATGATGAAGGAGAAATTGAGAAGTTCTACACGGAACTGGAGAAGTTCTATAAAGAAGACCACACCTTCTACAAGATCATTGCCGGTGATTTTAATGCCAAGATAGGACCGAGAGGATCAGCCGAAGTTCTCCACATTGGGACCCATAGCCTAGAATGGAACAAACGTGACTGTCTGAGTTCATCATGTCGACCAAGACCATCCATGGTAACTCACAGTTCCAGAAGGCCGAATCTAAACGTTGGACATGGGAGTGTTGTCCCAAAATTCCAAACAGGATCGGAACACTGTCTCCTTCGTGCAAAATTCTACTACACGGAGCGGGAAGAAAGGGTTACAAAGTTTAAGAAGAGAACTCCCAGAATGACCACCAACTGGGAGCTCTTTGGCACTATTGCGGCAACATGGGAAGATGCCATCATTGATAACATTGATGAGGAATACGATTGAATGGTTCAGCACCTCCATGATTGTGCGAGGAACACTGAGAGAGAGATAGCCACAAAAAGACACCTGTCTTCAAAGACTCTCGAGCTCATTCACCAACATGACTTGGTGCAAGCCTCAGGCAACCACAAGCGAACATCTGAGCTCACAAAGTTGTGCAGAGAAGCAATAAAGGAAGACCTCAGAGAAGAGCAGCAGTGCCGGCAGATGTGGTAGAAGCTGGGAAAAGCATTCGCAATGCCCGCCTGTCCTTTGCCAACTATAAGACCAAGATGACTGCCCTCCGACATCCTGATGGATCTATCACATCTTCCAGAAGGGTAATGGAGAAGATTATCCATGACTTCTACTCGGATCTCTTCAATAGCCATGTCCACCTGCCCACATACCAAATTCTGCAGGATGGATATGTCGTTCCCAATGTTCTCCCTTCCGAAATCTTACACACCATTTCATCGGTAAAGAAGCAAACAGCACCCGGCCCAGACAAGGTCAGACCTGAACACCTGAAGAACCTACCGTCAGTACTCATCAATACACTGGCTCGGCCCTTCACATTGTTACCTGTCTGAATGCAAGGTTCCGTCCCAATGGAAAACCAGCAGGACTGTACTACTGTACAAGAAGGGAGATATCCACGACATTGGCAACTTTCACCCAATCCGCCTGTTGTCTGTCGTCTACAAACTGCAAACTGTTCACTCGAATCATCCTGAATAGGATTGGCAGAACACCAGATGAAGGACAACCATGCAAGCAAACTGGTTTCTGAAAAGGATTCAGCACAATCGACCATATCCACACAATAAACAAGCTCATTGAGGTTTCTTGGGAGTTCAAGATGCCGCTCTGTCTAACATTCATTGATTTAAAGAAGGCCTTTTTTTTAATGCTTTTTTATTATTATTTTTTTAATTTTTATTAGCGAGACAGCATAAGGTACAGTTGTAGACTTACAAATTTTTGTGCTTGGGTTTCAATTATACAATGATCAAATAAAGAAGGCCTTTGATTCTGTTGAGACTGAAGCGGTCATCGAAGCCCTAGCCAAACAGGGCGTTCAAACTCAATACATCATGATCCTCCGTGAGCTGTATTGCAGATTCACTACCAGGATCTCACCATTCTACAGGGAGGTGATCATTGACATCAAGAGAGGGGTTCGGCACGGTGATACCATTTCACTGAAACTCTTCAGTGTCACCCTCGAGAACGTCATGTGACGACTGGAATGGGAAGGAATGGGAGTGAAGATAGACGGTCGGCAACTACACCACCTCCACTTTGCTGATGACATTGTTCTAATAACACCAAACATCAGCCAAGCAGCACAAATGCTGGCCGACTTCCACCGTGAGTGTGGAAAGGTCGGACTACAGCTGAATCTCACCAAGACAATGTTTATGAGAAACAGTCTCGTTCCTGACATTCCATTCGCTCTCAATGAGACGAACATCTCCGAATGCAACAGTTATGTGTACCTAGGTTGAGAAGTTAACATGACGAATGATCTGGCACCCAAGTTGCACAAAAGGAAGAGAGCAGCTTGGAACACCTTCAAGAGCGTGGAAGAAATAGCTAAGAGGACGAAGAACCTCCGGCTCCAGGCACATCTCTTCGATTCCACTGTTCTTCCTGCATTAACATATGCCTCAGAGATCTGGACCCTACGAAAACAGGATGAGAACGCTATTCAGGTCACCCAAAGATGAATCGAAAGAGCTATGCTTGGAGTATCACGCTTCATCCAAATGAGAGAAAGAATCCAGAGTTCCGACCTTCGTCAACAATCAAGAATCAGGAACACTGTCTCATTTGCCAAGGCGTTGAAAATCAGATGGGCTGGACACGTAATGCGATTTGGAGATGACTGCTGGACTAGAGCCATTACCAACTGGATTCCACGGGATGTCAAAAGATTGCGTGGCCACCCACCTGCGAGATGGTCAGACTTCTTCGTCAAGACCCTGACCGATCAGTTTGAGTCTCTTCTTGTTCCTAGATCGAGCAGACGCTATTGGGCTACATGGTAGGGCATTTGCCTTGCACACAGCCAACATGGCCGACCCGAGTTCGATTCCTCCGCCCCTCTCGGAGAGCCCGGCAAGCTACCGAGAGTATCTCGCCCGCGCGGCAGAGCCTGGCGAGCTCCCTATGCCAGACACAGTAACAACAAAGTCTCCAATGGAGATGTTACTGGGCCCACTCGAGCAAATCAGTGATCAATGGGAGGGCCTTTAGC